CTTAGTTGAAAGTCAGAACTGAGAGAATCTTCTATCTGCTGGTTCACTCCCTAGATGGCCACAACAGCCAGGTTGGAGCGAGGCTGAAGCCAGAAGCTTCTTACTGGTCTCCAAGGTAGGTGGCAGGGACTGTAACAATTGAGCCGTCGTCCGCTGCTTTTCCCAGGCACATTAGCAAGGAGCTGGATTGGAAGTGAAGCAGCAGGGACTCAAACCGGTGCTCATGTGGGATGCCAGTGTTGCAGGTTGTAGCCACTGTGCCACTACGCCAGCCCCTGAGAAATATCCTTTTAAATGGCTATAAAGTATTTTGTCTCATGGAGTACCACCACATAATACTTGGCACTATAAAAATGCTGCTTGATGGAATCATCACTTTACATAAACTTTTATATGGAGACGTGGCATTAGAAATTTACTTGCATCTGTCATCCAGCCTCAATCCATATCCTTTCCTCTGATATATTATGGACTAGGAGATTCCAAAAACTATACTCCCAGGTAAAGGAGATGAAAATGCTTTAAGGTTAGTGACAATTTTGCTAGATTGCTTTGTAGCAAGGATATATCCATTTATATTCCCAGCCCCAACATGGGAGCATTTTTCACTGTACCCTAGCCAGCACTTATTCACTGGATTTTGAGAAATGCTTTTTAAAAAGTCCCTTTGACAGATTTTAGGCTTTAAAAATATTCTGTGCTCAGAAGCTAATGATGCAATGGTTGGTGAGACTTGGGCTCAATCCTCCAGCCCTTATGGCTGTGTGATTCATGCAAGGCAGTCTCTGGACATCTGCTTCTCCATTCAGTACAAAAATATACCTACCTTAGTTGGTTCTGTGGTGATGAGACATGATGACGTTTATAAACTGCTTAGCACAGTCCTGCCTCATAAAAAGAGCTCAATAAATGGTTTCTTTTAGGCCCCAAGCTCTGCGACATGATGTCTATAACATTTTGGGGGGTGGCATTTGCTTAGCACCTGTTGTGTGGCTGGCACTCATTACTGAATGAATGAAAAAATTTCTAATTTAATAAGTGATATACCTCTTATGGCTTAGTTACTAATAAAATCATGGCTTATTATCTCTTTGCATTTCCAGTCTGTCATTTTAAAATTCATATTGTTTGGTCATGCAATAAAGAAGTTTGTTTACCAGATATTTAAATATGACTATACTCAATATCTGAAACTTCACATCAAAGAATCCAGTCTAATATAGCACTCTTTACGCTGTTTATTACCTTTCATGTTCTTCTAGACTATCATGTGCTTTTAATTAGAAAAAAAAGAGTAAATTAGAAAAAAATAAATAGAACCACCTGTGAAAAATCACTATTAAATAACTTTTTAGTTCATGCACACATTAATCATTCCTGTAAATCCTGGTGTAAACCATTCTCAGTTCTATCATTCATTATAGATTTTATCTAAAACAAATCAATTGAAAACTATTTACATCATTTTTATTTGAAAGGCAGAGACAGATAGGAAGAGATCTTCCATCTGTCGATTCACTCCCTAAATTCGTGCAACAGCCAAAGCTGGGGCTGATGAAGGCCAGGAGGCTGGAACTCCATCTGGGTCTCCCATGTGACTGGCAGGGACTCAAGTACATGAGCCATCATCTGCTGCCTCCCTGGATGTGCGAGAGCAGGAAGCTGGACTGGAAGCCAGGACTCAGACCATGCAGGCATCCCAAGTGGCAGCTGAACCTACTGGTCCATAGTGCCCATCCATACAGAATTTTTAAAATGACAAATGTTAAACATTGGTGAATATCCGGGCCGGCGCCGTGGCTCAATAGGCTAAACCTCCGCTTTGCGGCGCCGACACCTCGGGTTCTAGTCCCGGTTGGGGCGCCGGATTCTGTCCCGGTTGCCCCTCTTCCAGTCCAGCTCTCTGCTATGGCCAGGGAGTGCAGTGGAGGATGGCCCAAGTGCTTGGGCCCTGCATCCCATGGGAGACCAGGAGAAGCACCTGGCTCCTGGCTTCAGATCAGCGCGGTGTGCGCCGGATGCGGCGGCCATTGGCGGGTGAACCAACGGTAAAAGAAGACCTTTCTCTCTCTCTCACTGTCCACTCTGTCAAAAAAAAAAAAAAAAAAAATGGTGAATATCCAGTTCCCTGCTAATGTTCACCCTGGGAACAGAGATGATGGCTTAAGTACTTGAGTCCCGGCCACCCACATGGGAGATCTGGATTGAGTTTCTGGTTCCTAGCCTTGGCGTAGCCCAACCTAGGCTATTTCAGGCATTTGGGGAATGAACCAATGGATGGAATCTCAATCTCTCTCTCCATATTTCAAATAAATAAAATATTTTAAAAGTTGGAAAGCTAAAATAAAAAAAATTGCCAACTTCTATAAAGGATAAAAAGCTATTTTTCTTGCAAATTTCCTGTAAATTACGTATTACTTCAAAATAATAGTTTTAAATCTGGATTTAAAGAACTAATGAAAATCTCAGCTATCAATACAAGGATGTTAAAATCAGAGTTTCTGGGTATATTTATGGTAGACTTATTTCATTGTTTGTAGCAAACATTTTATTTAAAATTTAAAAATTTTACTTGAAAGGCAGAGAGATCAATAGAGATCTTTCATTGGCTGGTTCACTCCTCAAACATCCACAATGGCCAGTGCTGGGAGCCTGGAACTCGTCTTGCATTTCCGACCACCTGAGCCATCAACCGCTGCCTCCTAGGGCATATATTAACAAGAGGCAGAGCCGGAGCTTGAACCGAGGCACTCTGATATGGGATGCGAGTGTCCTAAGCAGTATTTTAACTACCATGCCAAATGCCCACCCTAAACATTTTAATTTTTACTTATTTTAGAGGCAGAGACAGACAGAGTGCTCCCATCTGTTGGTTTGCTTCCCAAATGCCCACAATGGAAACTGGGCTGGACTGGGCTAGGCCGAAATCAAAGGCAAGATGGCAGGGCCGGGCCAGGCTGAAGCCAGGAGGCAGGAGCTTCCTCCAGGTCTTCCAAGTGGGTGCAGGGGCCCAAGCACTTGGGCAATCTTCTATTGCTTTCCAAGGCACATTGACATGGAGCTGGATCAGAAGTAAGCAGCCAAGACTTGAACCAGTGCCCTTATGGGATGCCAGCACTGTAGACAGTGGCTTTAACCTGCTCTGCTACAGAACTGGCCCCAGAACACAGTATCTTTAAAAAATAAATATTTTCATTATTTATTTTGAGAGGTGGAGTTACAGAGGAAGGAGAGGTAGAGACAGAGAGGTCTTCCATCCACTGGTTCACTCCCCAGATGGCTGCAAAGGCCGGAGCTGAGCTGATCCGAAGCGAAGAGCCAGGAACTTCTTCTGGGTCTCCCACGTGGGTACAGGGGCCCAAGGACTTGGGCCATCTTCTACTGTTTTCCCAGGCCATAGCAGAGAGCGGGATCAGAAGTGGAGCAGCTGGGATTTGAACTGGCACCCATATGGGATGCTGGCACCACAGGTAGAGGCTTAGCCCACTACGCCACAGCTCCAGCCCCAAAACACAGCATCTTAACCAGCATCTTAGCTGCTAGGCTAAATACCCTATGGCAAGCATCTTAATGAAAATAAAACGGATGCACTCATTTCACAAGTCTAATTTCTAGACTATTGAAGGAGCAAGAAACTGTGGTTGTGCCTCTTATTCCCTCTAGAAAAATGTGTTCAAAGTCAGACCATACCCTACAATCGGTTCAAATGCACTGTTTGTAGACTGGAGTTGTATTTACAAGTTTATAATGTAGAAAATACTGATTTTTAAATAAAATATAACAAAAATGAAACCCTAGAAATTAAGCAGACATTATGCTCAAGGGTATTTATGCACTACTTTGGGTATTCACACGTGAACCATCAGCACAGTGGCTCTGAGAGAAAACAGAATGTGACTTGGGACCATCAGCCTAACAGCCATTGTACCTCTTCAAGCTAATCAGTCATAATGTGCAATCACCAGCTAAGAGTCCTTTAAAATCACTGCCACTTCCGACATCAGGGCACCACTGGATAAGTATCTTTTATTTGATCCAAACTGAGCAGTAACATTTAAATCACACATTCAAAAGCAGAATAGTTATCCACAAAATAGGTTATTATGCCTTAGCTAAGAAGCTGATAAATAGAAGTAGGAAAATCAGGATGTCAAGGTGTGCACTAGGTGAACTCAGACCTTGACACGGGGACTAAAATATCTGAGCCTACAATTTGGAGTTCTAGTTCCAACAGTGCTTGATAATCATGTCAAAAGCAGTTGGAGAAACATGCACCTAATTGCTGACAAGTTGTATCTGTAAAAAGGATTACAAGGACATACATTTTGATACACATTTCAATATACATGAATTTTGAAGTACAGATATGCATTGCTTTTGCTAATTAAAAAGAGCTAACATCAGACCTGGTCATTGGTCACAGAAATAAACAAATGAGCATGGCTGTAGCAAGCAATGCAAACTGGCTTCACAGAAATCAAACTAAAACTGCAGTATTCTTTTTCTGTTAACTGTCTTTGACGTAAATAAACAAATACTTTTTTAAAAACTGCAGTACTTTCAGACCTAACTAATAAACATTAATTTCTAAACTATTAAAAGGTAATGAGGGGCAAGCAAACAGCACAGCAGTTAATTTAAGGGTTGGGACACCTACATCCCACAACAAGGTGCCTGGTTCGAATTCCAGGTACTCTGCTTCAAATCCAGATTCCTGCTAATGTACTCCCTGGGAAGGAAGCAGATGATGGCTCAACTATTTGGGTTCCTGCTGCCTACAAAGGAGACCCAGCCTGATGTCTTGACTCCTGGCTTCAGCCTGGCCTGGCCCTGGCTGTTTGTTGGCATTTGAAGAATGAACCTGCAGATGAAATAAGATGAAAAGTGAGCAAAGGAAAACTCCACATCCTAGAATGGAAAAAAAAAAAAAAAAAGGAAATCAGATAAGCAAATGATGAAATGTGGACAGTTTTCACTTAAAGAATATGGAAACTGTGGACTCAACTAACAAAATCTTTATTATGTAAAACATTTATAATCATCTTAATGGTTATTAGCTTAATAAAAAAGCCACAAAACACTAACAATCAAATGCATGACAGATTAAAAAAAAGACATCAGATTACTTTGAGGGAAAATTGCCTTTAAATACTGTACATTTCCAAAAGAAACATTTTACATTGGGAGACCTTTTCTTACTCAACCTTTAAAAAAAAGAATTTTTCTCTTCATTAAAATACAAAGCATTTTCCTTCTTCTTGAACCATTATAGGTATGTAAAATTTAACAAGCTGGCATTTTTTCATAGTAAGAGGCTGAATCAGGTGAAATATGTAAAACAACTTGCATATATAATTAAAGGCTAGCTGTGGTATTACTGCATAGGTTAGAATGCTAAACTGCATAGGTTCTCATTTACTGCAAAACTACACTACCTTCTTAATTTTAGGTTAGCCTTTGCATCATCCTAATTGCTTCTGTGGTGAAAGCACCACCTTGTGGCAAAAGAAAGAACTTCTTAATGACACAAGTCAGGCCCAGAGAAAGCACGGGTAAGCTTTCAGGGCCTCGGTGCTGCTCCATTTCTTGACCTGTAACGTGACCCTACTAGAGGTTCACTTTGTAATTATTTGTCAAACTGTGTGACTTCTTTATTGCAATCTTAAAAGTATAGGAAAAAATATTTTACACGTATCTGAATTAAAGGTCATATGCCTAACTGCTGGATTTAAGCACCAATTCTATTTCCTAGAACTACAGTGCCTCTTCACCCTTGTAAATACACTGTTGTATTGTCGTGAGGAAACAAAACACCAGAAAGGTCCATTCTTTGGTAAGCATGGGAAGATTCCACACAAATGTTTTCCTCACAGTGTTATAGCTGCTCTCTCACAGCCCCCAAGAGCAACCACAGGTACTCTGGAATCATACTAAAGGCCTCTAATCCATCTAAATCTATGGTCTGAAAACTGAAAAAGAACCATTAACAATAGATTCTGTTGTGTCAATACAGAAAATCAAGGCCATGTGGCATTTTTAACTATGCCACAGTATTTGCTCAAAAAAAGGTTTTCCTTTATTCAAAAAATGACACAGTATTTGCAAAATGACCTGTACACCTGGAAGAGATTCTCATCCTCTGTAACTCACTGTTTCTGGTAGCTAAGTGCAGCCCATTGTGTGTCTCTCTTCATAACCTAGAGCAAAAATTTTTTGAAGGGAGAAAATCTTATTCTTTTTTCCCAGAAACCTGTCAGGATCTTCAGTGACCAGCCCCTCACGATGACCCTCCCTGAGGCATATGTAACTGGGGAGGAGATGAGCCACTGGCCACACTGCCCCAGAGATTGGCCAGAGCTAGCGTGCCACATGCAGGGGTAATACCCCATTGCCCAGGCGCTGCCTGCACCTGCTACCTGCCAACCCATCATAAGAAGCAGAGTTAGCTCCTGATTTCTTCTCTGCTCCACGCAAATATCAACAATATTAAAGTGCAATAAAGATGTGGGCAGATCTGAGAATGTTTTACAAGACAGTGTCTTCAGCTGAGTTAATGCTACCTGCTAAAGTAATCCTTACACTCAAGTGTAAAAAAATACTTTTAAAGAAACCTATTAGAATGTCATGTTGGAATAAAACAGAGGCAGCCACTACCCAATTGTTCTCTCTCTTACAATTTGATATGTTCCAGGTATGATTATTCTACTGGCCAGGAATACTCTCAGTAAAGCATTCACTGTCTGGTTGCTGTTCTGCCAAGATCTGTAATTGTCTTAAGGAGTCTTTAAATATAGCTGCTTCCTAAGATTAAAGGAAGGAAGGAATACTCTCAGGGATTTTTTTTTTTTTTTTTTTTGACAGGCAGAGTGGACAGTGTGAGAGAGAGATAGAGAGGAAGCTCTTCCTTTTCCATTGATTCACCCCACAATGGCCGTTGCAGCTGGCGCACCGTGCTGATCTGAAGCCAGGAGCCAGGTGCTTCTCCTGGTCTCCCATGGGGTACAGGGCCCAAGTACTTGGGCCATCCTCCACTGCACTCCCTGGCCACAGCAGAGAGCTGGCCTGGAAGAGGGGCAACGGGGACAGAATCCGGCACCCCGACCAGGACTAGAACCCGGGGTGCTGGCACCACAGGTGGAGAATTAGCCAAGTGAGCCGCGGCACCGGCCTCAGGGGTCTTTTTACAGAGTGTTAAGGAAGAGAATGGGATTTTTAAACTTAAATCTGAAAAGGAAAAATTCTTACTTCCCCCTTAAAACAGATAAGAAAATATAAACTTAAACATGACTTACTAAGATTTCTGGAACTGCCTGTTCAGAAATGTCTTATAGGAACCAAGTTAAGATAAAATATTGAGAAACACTAGCAACAGTATTCCACTGAAGTTATATTTCAGTACTTTAAATATAACCACAAGCTTCAACTGTTCATTTTACCAACTCCCTAAAAAATGTTCTCTGATATTTTCCAGAAGATATAGTTTAAAATTTTTTAAATTCTTTTTCTCCCAGAAATAGATGGGGGAGAAGGAGACTACTGATGGAGAATAACAGAGAAAATTGCTACTACTCAATGGGAACATAATCTTTTGAAATAAAGGCTTAGTAATTCAACAGACTATTCTTTTTAAAATGAAAACTTACATGTAATTATTCAAACTACAAGTACTTCTAATCATTTAAAGTGTTCGTGAATGATTGTGCAATGAGCATTAGGAAAAAAAACTCATACATAGTAACAAAGTGAGCTTAGGCACAGTTCCCTATACACTGTTTCACTTTCAGGAAATCTAGAACCTCTATGAAATTATTAAAATTATGACAAGGTCAGGTTTTATAAGCTCTTTCTCTCAAATTTGGCCAAATATAACATTAAAATACTGATATAGTCTTTGATCATGAAAGTGATGTATAATGTATAATAGCATATTATTTTTATCCTTAATCAATAATATTTAAACCAAGCTCTTCCCCTAAGACACTAATAGATGCCAGGAAAACAAATAATCTAAATTTTGTGGAGTATTCCCAGGTCATGATATAATAAACAGATTATAATGAAGACAACCAGTGTTGTTGGATATGTCCTTAAGCTGGGAGATTTTGTAAATAGTGGAATCATGTCCAAGATATGATATTCAAAAATATAAATTCTTCACATCAGTTTCTCTGTTAAGTCTTTTTTTTTTTTCAGTTAACAGTGATACTTAAACATCTTCAACTGTACACTCTTAATCTGCAACATTTTGATTACTCTTGTGTTTTGAAAATTTCTAAGTTCCATTTAATATATTATCTTCTGTTTCTTCTTAAAGAACTGATATTCATAAAAGGGTCATCATCATCATCCTGAAATGACAAACAGATGTTGGATTAGTGACTGCTGCATGGCTCACTGACAGAAGTTCTTAAAGCGAAGTGCTATCACAGTGATTTTCTCTTTTCACATAGCGTAGATTTCATTTTTGTATTTCCTTTATAAATGTGAAATATATAAGTCCAAGTAAACTCTTAGTGAGTATTAAAATAAAATTACCCTGCAATGTATATACACGTGCATTTCCCACAAATATTTACATTAATAAAAGCAAATGAGGTGTGGATAAGCTAAAAAAAAAAAAACTTACAGCAAGTCCTTTCCATCTGGTTTTTTAAAAGCTTTCTTTCCATTTACATTTTATTATAGGTATCTGCTGTTCTGGAAATTCATTGCCAAAAAATAGTGAAGACACATGCAGGAAATCTAACTTGGAAATAGCTGTAATTCTTATTTCCACTTAATGTTAGATAGCTACTCTTACAAAGAAGCCTGAAACAATCCAGCAAAGCAATCTTTGTTTTTTTGGCAAAGCAAGTAGAGGGAGTATTTCAAAAGTTCCCATACTTCTGGGCTGTATATTATATACATGGTAAACATAGAAAGAATTATCAAATCAACTAAAAATTTAATTAAAGAAAACGAAAACAAACTTTAAGTAATTCTAAGTTATAAAATTTGATGACGATAACACAAAATTGATTCTTGAGGCAGGCATGCAAAATGTTTCTCAGGGTGCCTACAATCCCACATTAGGGCATCAGTTTTGCTTGACAGAGAGTCACAGTTTAATACATATTCTATTGAAGTAACATTAAAAGCTTTGACATCCTCCTTCTCCTCCTCCTCATCCCTCCAAATATAAATGGTAGATGCTCAAAGAACCATTTTGATTCTTCTGTTAACTGGCAAATTAAGAGCTGACCAAACATCACATTTTAAATATCATCAGGCCTTTTATATCTAGTAATTAAATTGAAGGACACTCAACAGATGTTACCTGTTGATGACTCAACATTATAGTTCAAAGGAAGGTTATTAATGAAACAATATTTTTGAAAATAATTTTAGGGGCCAGTGTTGTGACACAGCATAAGCTAAGCTGTCATTTATGACACCGGCATCCCATATCACGCCCTGCTACCCTGTTTCTGATCCAGCTTCCTTCCAATGTGTCTGGGAAGGCAGCAGCAAGATGGCCTGGAAGATGGCCCAAGTGCTTGGGCACCTGAAAACTGTGTAGTTAGACCAGGATCTAGTTTTGGCTCCTGGTTTCAGTCTGGACCAGATCTGACAGTTGCAGTCTTTTGGGGAGTAAAGCAGTAGATAGAAGATCTCTTTCTCTGCCTTGCCTTTCAAATAAATGTATATTTTTTTATAAAACTACTTTTAGCAACTAGCTAGCAATTTAAATTTTATAAGTAAAAATTAAAATTTAACAATTTTATTACCTCATCTGATTCAAAATCAACCCCTTTAGCTATTTGGTTCTGAGACATGCGTTTGCTGGATGATGTGGCCGACCACCTGAGGCAAAAAGGAGAGAGAGAGACAATGAACTACAGAATTCATCAAAACCAATTTTTTAATTAAGTTTTTCCAATCTCCCAGCAGCCACAAAAAGCAATAGTACATAATCCCCTTTAACAAACATAAGAAACAGTAAAAAATAACAATATAGAAAAGGACCCTGGAATTACATCAAAATTATAGATTTTTGTATTTACTATGAAGCTTAGGCAAATTCCTTAACCTCTTTGTGCCTCAATTTCCTCATCTGTAAAATGGGGATAATAGGTTTTAAGGATTCAGTATTTTTTAAATTTTATTTAATAAATATAAATTTCCAAAGTACAGTTTATGGATTACAATGGCTTCCCACCCCTCATAACTTCCCTCCCACCTGCAACCCTCCCATCTTCCGCTCTCTACCCCATTCCATTTGCATCAAGATTCATTTTCAATTATCTTTATATACAGAAGATCAATTTAGTATATATTAAGTAAAGACTTCAACAGTTTGCACCCACACAGAAACACAAAGTATAAAATACTGTTTCAGTACTAGTTGTAGCATTAAATCACAATGTACAGCACATTAAGGACAGATCCTACATGAGCAGTAAGTACACAGTGACTCCTGTTGTTGACTTAACAAATTGACATTCTTGTTTATGGCATTAGTAATCACGCTAGGCTCTTGTCATGAGTTGCCAAGGCTATGAAAGCCTTTTGAGTTCGCTGACTTTGATCTTCTTTAGACAAGGTCATAGTCAAAGTGGAAGTTCTCTCCTCCCTTCAGAGTAAGGTACCTCCTTCTTTGATGACCCGTTCTTTCCACTGGGATCTCACTTGCAGAGATCTTTCATTTAGGGTTTTTTTTTTTTTTTCCCCCAGAGTATCTTGGCTTTCCATGCCTAAAATACTCTCATGGGCTCTCCAGCCAGATCCAAATGCCTTAAGGGCTGATTCTGAGGCCAGAGTGCTGTTTAGGACATCTGCCATTCTATGAGTCTGCTGTGTATCCTGCTTCCCATGTTGATTCGTTCTCTCCCTTTTTTATTCTATCAGTTAGTATTCGAAGACACTAGTCCTGTTTGTGTGATCCCTTTGACTCTCAGACCTATCAGTGTGATCAATTGTGAACTGAAATTGATCAGTTGGGCTAGTGAGATGACATTGGTACATGCAACCTTGATGGGACTGTATTGGAATCCCCTGGCACGTTTCTAACTCCACCATTTGGGGCAAGTCCGATTGAGCATGTCTCAAATTGTTCATCTCCTCCCTCTCTTATTCCCACTCTTATATTTAACATGGATCATTTCTCAGTTAAACACTTAAGAATAATTGTGTGTTAATTACAGAGTTCAACCAATAGTATTAACTAGAACAAAAAAATACTATAAAGGATAAAGTATTAAATTGTACATCAACAGTCAGGACAAGAGCTGATCAAGTCACTGTTTCTCATAGTGTCCCTTTCACTTCAACAGTTTCCTTTTAGGTGCTCATTTAGTTTTCACCGATCAGGGAGAACATATGATATTTGTCCCTTTGGGACTGCCTTATTTGACTCAGCATATTTTCCAGATTCCTCCATTTTGTTGCAAATGACCGGATTTCATTGTTTTTGACTGCTGTATAATATTCTAGAGTAAATGTCCCATAATTTCTTTATCCAGTCTACTGTTGATGGGCATTTGGGTTGATTCCAGGTCTTAGCTATTGTGAATTGAGCTGCAATAAATATTAATGTGCAGACCTCTTTTTTGTTTGCCAATTTAATTTCCTTTGGTAAATTCCAAGGAGTAGGATGGCTGGGTTGTATGGTAGGGTTATATACAGGTTTCTGAGGAATCTCCAGACTGACTTCCATAGAGGTTTTACCAGTTTGCATTCCACCAAAAGTGGGTTGGTTAGTGTCCCTTTGTCCCCACATCCTCTCCAGCATCTGTTGTTGGTAGATTTCTGTATGTGAGCCATTCTAACTGGGGTGAGGTGAAACTTCATTGTGGTTTTGATTTGCATTTCCCTGATTGCTAGTGAAAGGATTCAGTATGTTAATATGCTTAAACACTCAGCATAGTGCCTGACACATATTCAACACTACACAGATGGTTACTTATGTTTTTATTGTCCTCTTTATTAGGTATTAAAATGTATCTATTATCAGGCCCCACTTCTGAAAATCAAGGCAACCCTGAAGTATTTTTATTCAAATCTCATTAATGTGTCCACCATAGGATAAAAGGATCTCAAGAAAGGTTCACCTCTCTGCAGAGCTGTGCCCCTGCTTGTGTTACTCAGCTCAATCTGGATCAAGCAGCAAATGTTTACTAAGTGTCTGCTCTTGGCCAGTGCTATGATAGCTCTGGGAAATACTAGTAAATCAGAAAATCACGATTCCTACTCTAATGAAACTTGTATGCTTATATTAATAAAAAGTTTGGAGTTAGATCAGAGATCAGCAAACCAAAGCCAGTGACAAAATCCAGCCTGCCACCTATTTTTGGCCTGGTTTTTAAGGCCTGTGTGCTACCAGTGGCTTCTACATTTTCAAATGGTTACATTTTAAGTGATTATACAAGTACCTACATAATATCCATGATTTTTACCTCTTGGCCTGCAAAGTCTAAAATATTTATGATCTAGCCCTTTAAGAAAAACTTTGCCAATTCCTGTCTTAAATAAAAGCAATGTTTGTAAATTCCTAGCAATTTATTAACTTATTTTGTTAATTTTATTAACTTATTTTGTTATTTTGTAACAGCTTTGAGATACTATAGCCAAAGAAATATGTTTCAAAGTCTTGTTCCAATAAATAAGTTGAGAATCAAAGGATCCTGTGTCAGGAGGAAACAGAAAAACCCACACGTCCTTATGTGTGGATAAGGACCAGGATTTCTCAAGCAAATCAGTTGAACAACTAAGGTTCAGAAGTGAGAATCAGAGAATTTATCAATTGGTCCATCTACGGAGTCCCAACCCAAGTAGGAACTGGTCAATTGCTGACTTTCCATTAGAGGCCAGAAATAAAAGATCATTAAAAGCATAAACCCAGTGTTAAGGCTGGCAAAAGAGGGGTTGAGAGGAGAGTTACAGAAAGAAAACACTCACTGAGACTTAACCCCGCCTTCTGATACATCCCCAGACAACCAACTACTGGGTCTCAGGAGAAGTAAGCCAGGCATCTGTGATGGGTGCTGGCTCACATGGCCACAGCCACAATTCTGCAGTAGAGGGTCCCAAAGACCCAGAGTTGTCATCCATGAGAGGCCCTTTGTCCTCAGCAATCAGCAGAAGTAAAAGAAATGGCTAAATTGTTCTGACCATTGGATTCAATAAATGAGTTTCGTTATGGATATTTAAAAGTATTTAATTTGATCAGCCTTACAAGGATGGATCAAAAATAAAGGCAGGGTGTGGGATCACATCGAATGCTGAGGCTTGTTCAGAAATAATGTGTGGCCAGAAACCAGAATTCCTGTCTAGAGCTCTTTAGTCAACAAGATAGTTGTCATGGCATTAGAGCATGTTAAATTAGCTGCAGGTTATGCCTGGCACATGAAAGGTGGTCAAAGGATGTGAGTTCCCTTGGGGCCGGTGCTGTGGCGCTGTGGGTAAAGCCACCACCTGCAGTGCTGGCATCCCATATGGGTGCTGGTTTGAGTCCTGGCTGCTCCTCTTCTGATCCAGCTCTCTGCTATGGCCTGGGAAAGCAATGGAAGATGGCCGAAGTCCTTGGGCCCCTGTACCCACATGGGAGACCAGAAGACGCTCCTGGCTCCTGGCTTCAGATCAGTGAAGCTCCAGCCACTAGGGCTATCTGGGGAGTAAAGCAGTGGATGGAAGACCTCTCTCTCTCTGCCTCTGCCTCTCTGTAACTCTTTCAAATAAATAAATTAATTTAAAAAAAAAAAAAAAAAAGGACGTGAGTTCCCTCACCGCAAGGTTTAACAGATTCCCTCTCAATCGTTCCTCCTCCACTTGGCCTGACAGAGCCAGGTCCTCACACGCCACTGTGAGGAGACCAGGGTTATTACCTGCCAGTTCTGGAAGGTTTCTCTTATTTCCAATACAACAAAGGTAGACTTTAGAACAATTTTTCCAAGGACAAGTAGGTTTTCCATTGTCGATACAGTAAAAAGGGAGTTTTACAGCTGGAAGTTATTTCTTCTTCTTTTTTTTTTTTTTTTTTTTTTTGACAGGCAGACAGGACACAGAGAGAGAGAGAGAGAGAGAGAGAGAGAGAGAGAGAGAGAGAAAGGTCTTCCTTTTTCCGTTGGTTCACCCCCTAATGGCCGCTGCGGCTGGCACAACGCGCTGATCCAAAGCCAGGAGCTAGGTGCTTCTCCTGGTCTCCCATGCGGGTGCAGGGCGCAAGCACTTGGGCCATCCTCCACTGCACTCCTGGGCCACAGCAGAGAGCTGGCCTGGAAGAGGGGCAACCGGGAAAGAATCCGGTGCCCCGACTGGGGCTAGAACCCGGTGTGCCGGAGCCACTAGGTGGAGGATTAGCCTATTGAGCCGCAGCGCCAGCCTCCTCTTTAAAGTTAATTGCCAGGAATATCAGTACTTTTTTACTCACTACTTTTCTTATTACTTTGTCCTATTTCCTGAGGTTTGTTTTTTTTTTTTTTTTTTTTGACAGGCAGAGTGGACAGTGAGAGAGAGAGACAGAGAGAAAGGTCTTCCTTTGCCGTTGGTTCACCCTCCAATGGCCGCCGCGGCCGGCGCACCGCGCTGATCCAATGGCAGGAGCCAGGAGCCAGGTGCTTTTCCTGGTCTCCCATGGGGTGCAGGGCCCAAGCACCTGGGCCATCCTCCACTGCACTCCCGGGCCACAGCAGAGAGCTGGCCTGGAAGAGGGGCAACCGGGACAGATTCTGGCGCCCCAACCGGGACTAGAACCCGGTGTGCCAGCGCCGCTAGGCGGAGGATTAGCCTAGTGAGCCGCGGCGCCGGCTTTTCCTGAGGTTTTTGCTTTTTAATTTAATGCTTATATAGCTGTTACTATTTGGCAGGCAGTATTCCTTATCACATTATGAATATTCACACTCATTTAAGCCTCAGAACAACCCTATGCATAAATACAATTCTTATTACCTTTATTTTGAGGGACCTCCAAAAGAGGACACCAAGACACAGAGAAATCAAATGATCTCCCCATGGTCCACACTTAGTAAGTGGTAGACCTTACACACTTTCCTACCATCTTGGTACTTTTTACTTCTAAAAAGTCCAGCACGGAATTCTGTAACCTGCTAGTCTCCTAGATTTTTCTCATGCCTTTCTTGTTGATTCTTCAACTTTACCCAAGCTCTAGAGGTTCGAAACCCCAGGATGGGAACTCAAGCCCTCTTCTCCACCTTCTCTTTCAAGGTGATCCTATCTGTCTCTATGGCTTTAAGTACCAACTGTATGCTGTCCAGAGGTAAATCTAGTTCGCTCATCTGAGCTCAGGACTCATATCAAGTTGCCTATAAACCCTTTCACGTAATTTCAGTCATCTCAAACTTTCCAAATCTAAAGCAGAACTTGGGATTTTATGGTTATGACAAACGACTAACTATCCCTGTCATCTTGTATGCCTTTCTCAATTTAAGGCATAACCTAAATCCTGAAGCAGGAAACATGAAAATCAACACTGATTGCTCATTCTCCTTGATTTCAGTTTTCAATACATCCCTAGGTTTCATCATGTCCATCTACCAACTATTTCCATATATTTTCACTACTCCTGCCATCAGCCTGTGCAAGCCTCCATCATCTCTTATCTCAACTACCTACAGTGCCCTCCCCTTCTAATCAGCCTGTTTGTACTCCAAGCTTCCTGCAACCTCAGGGATCCTTTATAAATCAGATGGCACCTCTCCTGTTTCCTCTGGCTCCCCAATGCATTTATAATAAGTTCAAAATCCTTACCATCCTCACCTGTACCTGCTGCATGAATTAGCACTGCCTCTTTTCTATTCTCATCTTAAACAGCTTTCTTTTCCACCAGCTTTTAGTTACTGGCTCCTAAACTATGTTAAGCTGTTTTCTTCCTCAAGAGACTTTGCATATGCTTTTCCCTCTGCTCATTACAACACAAAGCCTCTCATTCTTTTAAAATTTTTTATATAAAAGAAACAAATTTCATGTATTTCCTGTACACAGTATTAATAACATAATGATACTTTCCACCTTACCCTCCCTCCCTTCTCTCTTATTCCTAAAACTTCAACTTAAATATAACCTCCTCAGAGGCTTTCCTGGAGTACCCTTTCAAAGTGGACAACTGTGCCTGTGACATGGCTCTTTCTTCAGGACCCTGATCATTTCCTTCAACACAGTCTAATACACCTGTTGATGATCTGTTCAAATGGTACCTATTGTTGTAAAGTCCTATGATCTTTCCCAGGAATAGACTGACACTTCCTTTGGATGTCATTACTCTTGACCAAAAAAACTTATCTTACTTGGCATACCCTAAAATGTAAATTTCTTGAAGAAAGGGTCATTTTCTTCATCTTTCTATCTCAACACCTAGCACAATGTTTAGCAGAGCTAATAAATGGTCATGGCTATACTTATCAACTTTTCCAACACTGACCTTTAATTAACATAAGGTATGTATTCTCAATGGGCTCAGTATCACAGCTAAGGAACAAAAATTGGTTCCCAGGGTACAGTGGGATGGGGTGACATATCTTAAGACATTGCAATGGCTTTTGGCCCCATCAAGCTTAAACTATGTAACAAAATTTCATTTGTTAGTATTCAATTTCTCTTGCTAGGTAGACACTGAACTAAACTTATTTAATATTTTTCTGTAGGTAATGATATATGAGTTGAACGCTAGAGAAATACTGATGCAAACCTTTCCTGTCATCTCATTTCTGTAGTTCCAGTTCAGGTCATCAGTCACAGCTGGGATCATCAGTCCCCTGCCTACTAAGCCCAAGTAATTCTTACCTGAAATCTGAGGTAAATTCTGTTCCCTCTGTGAATCTTTCTCTTTTACCATAGTGTATAGTCTTTGCTCTTTTTTCCAAGGGCCTATAAGCATTCATAATTAGGGGCTGGTGCTGTAGCAAAGAAGGTTAAGCCTCAGCCTGCAGTGCTGGTATCCCATATGGGTGCCGGTTCACGTCCCAGCTGCTGAACTTCTGATCCCGCTTGCTGCTAATGTGCCTAGGAAAGCAGTAGAAGACTGCCAAGTGTTTGGGCCCCTGAACACATGTGGGAGACCTGGAAGAAAACTCCTGGCTCCTGGCTTCCGCCTGGCCCAATCCCAGCCATTGTGGCCATTTGGGGAACGAACCAGTGGATGGAAGATCTCTCTCTCTCATTGTGGCCATTTGGGGAATGAACCAGTGGATGGAAGATCTCTCTCTCTCTCTCTCTCTGTATCTCTGCCTTTCAAATAAATAAATAAATCTTTAAATAAATCATAATTAATGGTCTGCATCAGAAAACTCCACATAATTTTGTGCTGATTCAATTATCCTTTAATGAGTCCAAATGTGTTCATCTCTCTTCTACAATTTAAGCTCCCTTAAGCCAAAACCATATTAACATTTATTATGTTCCCATCAGACTTAATTCGATGCTCAAACAGAAAGTAAGTATTAAAAAAGGGCTGTTATTTTCTTAGGTAAAAATTTCCACTCATCGAGCTGTAGTTAAGCAGTGTTCACCAAAAATGTTAACTTCTAAATGGAAATGTTAATAATGAATCAAGTCAAGCTTAACAGCAACAGGCAAACACTGAAAAGGTCAGGAAGAGCATACAAATGCTTGGAAGGCACAATACATCTTTATGGCCCTCTTTTTGAGTGTTTAGCACATGTATAATTAAGTACATGAAAATATGATAATGGTGGAAAGCTAAAATCAAATGCTTGCTATTAACAGAATGCAAAATTATTTTGTTAATTGGGAAGAACACTGACATCCATTAAGAAAATCACTGGGTAATAAAAAGAAAAGGAGAAGTAGCATAGACTATTATATTTTCAGTGAACATACTTGCACTAACACTATCTTAAGTCTATGAACTAGGCCTTTGTCTTTCATTCTCTATATACTTTCATAATTAAAACTAAATCTGTTGGGGCCGGCGCTGTGGCATAGTGGGTAAAGCTGCCACCTGGAGTGCCGGCATCCCACATGGGCACCAGTTCGAGTCCTAGCTGCTCCATTTCCAATCCAGTTCCCTGCTTTTGGGAAAGCACAGGAAGATGACCCAAGTCTTTGGTTCCCTGCACCTGCGTGGGAGACCTGGAGGAAACTCCTGGTTCCTGGCTTTGGATCAGCCCAGCTCCAGCTATTGTGGCCATTTGGTGAGTGAACCAACAGATGGAAGACCTCTCTCTGCCTCTGCTTCTCTGTAACTCTACCTTTCATAAATAAATAAATGTTTTAAAAAAAAACTATATCTGTTGAATTTCTATGGCATAGGAAAGTGAAGTGTGTAACTGAAATTTTGGAAATTTTTAATTTTTTCTAATTTTTTTTCCTTTTTTTTGGCAGGAAGTCACTGCACTGACCTTTGATCTGTCTTCGAAGTGGTAGGAAAAAGATCTTCTTCCACATCTGATTCATCCACCTCAATCACCTAAGGGGGGTGGGGGAAACAGCAATAAATGATTAGCATGGGACTAGAACATGTAGTTAAATATGAATTAAGCAACTGAATCTCAAAGTATTTTTTTAAAAACTTACACCACCCAAAAATGGTACAAAAAGGAGGCAGAAACCATATATGCAACAGCTATTAAAACTAAACCTGGGGCCGGCGCTGTGGCATAGCGGGTAAAGCTGCTGCTTGCAGTACCGGCATCCCATATGCGTGCCAGTTCAAGTCCCGGCTGCTCCACTTCTGATCCAGTTCTCTGCTATGGCCTGGGAAAGCAGTAAAGACGATCCAAGTTTTTAGGCTCCCGCACTTGCATGGGAGACCCGGAAGAGGCTCCTGGCTCCTGGCTTTAGATCAGTGTAGCTCCAGCTGTAGCAGCCTTCTGAGGAGTGAACCAGCAGATAGAACACCTTTCTCTCTCTCTCTCTCTCTCTCTCTCTCTCTCTCTGCCTGCCTCTCTGTAACTCTGCCTTTCAAATAAAATAATTAAATCTTAAAAAAAAAAAAAAAACAACTAAACCTTTGCCTGCTGTCCCTTTAATGTGTCTCTTCATTCACAAATGGTATGCTCTAGTAGGTGTCTAAAAGAACTGTCTTCTTTACTGGCCCCACAGGAACCTGGGTAGTCTGCATGGGCTCATGTGAGGCTACCCTGTGATTTCTTCTTGGGTTCCGATGATGAAGTTAGACCATCAGTGTTCCATCTCCAATTTTAAATGAGGTAGCAGACTGTGTCGAGACGACTGGGTATCTATCTGGCATGTTTAACCATATTAAATAACATTCCTTAAGTGTTCAGTTTCAACAGATAGTTTGATTCTATCTTCCAAAATATTAACTATTCCTTCTATATTTTGTGTTATCTTGACACTTGGGATACACATTTTCTATGTTTTCATCTAACTGAAGGGCAGACAAGGATAAAGTTAAAGGCAGAATACTAAAAGAACAGCATCTGAAGCCAAGGATGCTGCCAAACACCCTAGAGTGTACAGGACAGTCCTTCACAACAAAGAATTATCTACCCAAAATGTCAGTAGTGCGCTACTGAGAAAACTTGATGTGGGAGGAAGAATAATGACTTGGGAGTAAGACACATGGGTTTTGAAAATGAAGGATTAGGAAAGTCAAGCTCATGCCAGATTTAGAGTCCAGAGGAAGACCCAGCTTAAATCTACAGAAAAACACAGAGACTCCTGGATTCCAACTTTCAGTATGTATTGTGTCTTCCGTCCACCATGAAGGCACCACCAAAGCATTACATGAGTACAAATAGTAAAAGGAAACCCAGGAGTAAACAAAACCTCTATAGGCAATGAAAACACTTTCAACATTGGTATCCCATGCATGGAAAAAACTGTTTCAAAACTATTACCTTAAAAATATAATTGAAAACACACATTTATTGATTTCTAATAATGTGAATTATTGCCTTAAAAAAAAGACAACAAAAAACAAATCCTAAAGGTCTTCAGTCTAGATAACTTATAATGTTCTCTCCAGCTTTAGTTCTACACCTTTCCTTCTATTATTTACCTTGCAAATCAAACAATCAATAATTCACAAAGCAGGAAAGAACAAATTATCAAAACACAACCATAAAATTCTCTTACCTCTGAATAATTCTTAGTAGCAACTTTTTGGGAGGGCTGCTGTCTTGTACATTTAAAGGCTTGAGTGAAAGAGATAAAATACACATTACTCTTAAAATGACTGAAAAAGTTGCACATTACTTTAGCTGTAAAAATCTATGACAACTATAAAACAATATATTTTTTAAAATCTGGAGGGAGGCAGATTCTATGTTCAAATAACTCAATGCTTAGCAATCAGTCTCACAACTTTGCAACTTATTCAAATACTGTGAAAAGCAGTAGTCATAAATGCACCCACACTAAAAATATTTTATTAAAGCAGACCTGCAGGATTACATCTGATCACCTAACCAACTGCATTACAAATACAATGAAGGTAAACTTCCTTAAAAGACCTCCTTTGCAGTCAATGATACCTTCCCTATGGCTGTATTAGGAGCCATGTGGTTCTAGAAATGAGAAGCAGCTTTATCATTCACCTGTACCTTGGTGGCCAGATTCAGTGCCTAAGAAATGTGCCAGACGAGCTGGCACTACAGTGTAGCAGATAAAAACACCACCTGCCACATGGTTCCAACTCCAATCTAGCTTTCTGCTATGGCCTGGCAACACAGTAGAAGATGGCCCAAGTCTCTGAGCCACTGCACCAGAGTAGAAGACCTGAAAGAAGCTCCTGGCTCCTGGTTTCAGATCAGCCTAGCTCCAGCCATTGTGGCCATTTGGAGAGTGAACCATCAGATGGAAGACCTCCCTCTCTCTCTCTCTCTCTCTCTGATTCTCAGTAATTCTGCCTTTCAATTAATAAACAAATCTTTAAAAAAAAAAAAAAAGAAAACGAAAGAAATACAACAGAGGGAATTCTAGCTTATCTTTTATTCCATCATGCAACTTTCCTCTGATTCCTCAATTTTGTTGCTTTATGAACTGGGTTAAAAACTTGAAGTTCAGCTAACCCTTTACTTTTCCCATTCATTCCCTTGGATTCAAAACCTACTATGAATTTCAAATACATAACTGAAGTGTATTTTCTCCTATCCTTTCTCAGTTTGTTAATATAAAAATATTAAGACAAACTTTAAACTACACAAGGCAAGGAAAGAATGATAATTTAAAACCACAAATACTCTGGGGGACTTCAATACTCCACTTTCAGCAACAGACAGATCAAACAGACAGAAAATCAACAAGGAAACAGCAGATTTAATTGACACTATAGACCAAATAGATCTAACAGATATTTACAGAACTTTTCATCCTACAGTTGTAGAATACACATTCTTCTCAGCAATGCATGGAACCTACTCTAGGATTGACCACATACTAGGCCAACAAAGAAAGTCTCAGCAAATACAAAAGAATCAAAATCATACCATGCATTTTCTCAGAACACAAGCTGGAAATTAGCAACTCAGGAATCCCTAGAGCATATGCAAACACATGCAGACTAAACTACATGCTCTTCAATGAACACTGGGTCATAGAAGAAATCAAAAGAGAAATCAAAAACATTCTGGAAGTAAATGAAGATAACAACACAACATATCAAAACTTATGGGATACAGCAAAAGCAGTGTTAAGAGGAAAGTTTATAGCAATCGGTGCCTACATCAAGAAATTGGAAAGGCACCAAATAAATAAGCTATCAATGCATCTCAAGGATCTAGAAAAACTATAGCAAACCAAACCCAAAACTAGTAGAAGAGAAATACTTAGAGAAGAAATCAAGAAAACTGAATACAAAAAGCACTACAAAAGATCAGCCAAACTAAGAGTTGGTTTTTTTGAAAAAATAAACAAAACTGACACACCATTGGCCCAACTAACCAAAAAAAGGAAAGAGAAGAACCAAATCAATAAAATTAGAGATGAAAAAGGAAATGTAACAACAGACAACACAGAAATAAAAATAGTCATCAGAAATTACTACAAAGAGTTGTATGGCAGCAAACTGGGAAATCTATCAGAAATGGATAGATTCCTGGACACATACAACTTACCTAAATCAAACTATGAAGACACAGAAAACCTAAACAGACCCATAACCGAGTCAGAAATTGAAACAGTAATAAAGGCCCTCCCAACAAAGAAAAGCCCAGGACCAGATGGATTCACTGCTGAATTCTACCAGACATTTAAAGAAGAAGTAACTCCAATTCTTCTCAAACTATTCAGAACAATCGAAAAAGAGAGAATCCTCCAAAATTCTTTCTACGAAGCCAGCATCACCTTAATACCTAACCAGAAAAAGATGCAGCAGAAAAAGAGAATTACAGACCAATATCCCTGATGAACACAGACGCAAAAATCCTCAATAAGATTCTGGCCAACAGAATGCAACAACACACCAGAAAGATCAGTCACCCAGACCAAGAGGGAATTATCCCTGGTACGCAGGGATGGTTCAACATTCGCAAATCAATCAATGTGATACACCACATTAACAGACTGCAGAAGAAAAATCATATGATTATTTCAATAGATGCAGAGAAAGCATTTGATAAAATACAACACCCTTTCATGATGAAAACTCTAAGCAAACTGGGTATAGAAGGAACATTCCTCAACGCAATCAAGGCAATTTATGAAAAACCCACAGCCAACATCCTATTGAATGGGGAAAAGTTGGAAGCATTTCCACTGAGATCTGGTACCAGACAGGGATGTCCACTCTCACCACTGCTATTCAATACAGTTCTGGAAATTTTAGCCGGAGCTATCAGGCAAGAAAAAGAAATTAAAGGGATACAAACTGGGAAGGAAGAACTCAAACTATCCCTCTTTGCAGATGATAGGATTCTTCATTTAGGGGATCCAAAGAACTCCATTAAGTGACTATTGGGACTCAGAGAACAGTTTGGCAAAGTAGCAGGATATAAAATCAATGCACAAAAATCAACAGCCTTTGTATATACAGGCATGGCCATGGCTAAGAAAGAACTTTTAAGATCAATCCCATTCAAAATAGCTACAAAAATAATCAAATACACTGGAATAAACTTAACCAAGGATGTCAAAAATCTCTACGATGAGAATTACAAAACCTTAAAGAAAGAAATAGAAGATGATACCAAATAATGGAAAAATCTTCCATGTTCATGGATTGGAAGAATCAATGTCATCAAAATGTCCATTCTCCCAAAAGCAATTTATAGATTCAATGCAATACCAATCAAAATACCAAAGACATTCTTCTCAGATCTGGGAAACATGAGACCTCGAATAGCTAAAGCAATCTTGTACAACAACAACAAAGCTGGAGGCATCACAATACCAGATTTCAGGGCATAGTACAGAGCAGTTGTTATCAAAACAGCATGGTACTGGTACAGAAACAGAAGGATAGACCAATGGAACAGAATAGAAACACCAGAAATCAACCCAAACATCTACAGCCAACTTATATTTGATCAAGGATCTAAAACCAATCCCTGGAGTAAGGACAGTCTATTCAATAAATGGTGCTGGGAAAATTGGATTTCCACATGCAGAACCATGAAGCAAGACCCCTACCTTTCACCTTACACAAAAATACACTCAACATGGATTACAGACTTAAATCTATGACCCGACACCATCAAATTATTAGAGAACATTGGAGAAACCCTGCAAGATATAGGTACTGGCAAAGACTTCTTGGAAAAGACCCCGGAAGCACAGGCAGTCAAAACCAAAATTAACATTTGGGATTGCATCAAATTGGGAAGTTTCTGTACTTCAAAAGAAACAGTCAGGAGAGTGAAGAGGCAACCAACAGAATGGGAAAATATGTTTGCAAACTATGCAAGAGATAAAGGGCTGATAACCAGAATCTACAAAGAGATCAAGAAAGCCCACAACATCAAAACAAACAACCCACTGAAGAGATGGGCCAAGGACCTCAATAGACATTTTTCAAAAGAGGAAATCCATATGGCCAACAGACACATGAAAAAATGTTCAAGATCACTTGCAATCAGGGAAATGCAAATCAAAACCACAATGAGGTTTCACCTCACCCCGGTGAGAATGGCTCACATACAGAAATCTACCAACAATAGATGCTGGTGAGGATGTGGGGAAAAAGGGAAACTAACCCACTGTTGGTGGGAATGCAAACTGGTTAAGCCTCTATGGAAGTCAGTCTGGAGATTCCTCAGAATCCTGAATATAACCCTACCATACAACCCAGCCATCCTACTCCTTGGAATTTACCCACTGGAAATGAAATTGGCAAACAAAAAAGCGGTCTGCACCTTAATGTTTATTGCAGCTCAATTCACAATAGTTCAGACCTGGAATCAACCCAAATGCCCATCAACAGTAGACTGGATAAAGAAATTATGGGACATTTACTCTAGAATATTATACAGCAGTCAAAAACAATGAAATTCGGTCATTTGCAACAAAATGGAGGAATCTGGAAAATATGCTGAGTCAAATAAGGCAGTCCCAAAGGGACAAATATCATATGTTCTCCCTGATCGGTGAAAACTAAATGAGCACCTAAAAGGAAACTGTTGAAGTGAAAGGGACACTATGAGAAACAGTGACTTGATCAGCTCTTGTCCTGACTGTTGATGTACAATTTAATACTTTATCCTTTATAGTATTTTTTTGTTCTAGTTAATACTATTGGTTGAACTCTGTAATTAACACACAATTATTCTTAAGTGTTTAACTGAAAAGTGATCTATGTTAAATGTAAGAGTGGGAATAAGAGAGGGAGGAGATGAACAATTTGAGACATGCTCAATCGGACTTGCCCCAAATGGTGGAGTTAGAAACGTGCCAGGGGATTCCAATACAGTCCCATCAAGGTTGCATGTACCAATGTCATCTCACTAGCCCAACTGATCAATTTCAGTTCACAATTGATCACACTGATAGGTCTAAGAGTCAAAGGGATCACACAAACAGGACTAGTGTCTTCGAATACTAACTGATAGAATAAAAAAGGGAGAGAACAATCAACATGGGAAGCAGGATACACAGCAGACTCATAGAATGGCAGATGTCCTAAACAGCACTCTGGCCTCAGAATCAGCCCTTAAGGCATTCGGATCTGGCTGAAGAGCCCATGAGAGTATTTTAGGCAGGA